TTTCCCTTTTTACAGCAGAGAAAATTCAGCATTTTTTTTTTTTTTTTAAGTGTGATCAGAAACTCTGAATGTAATCTAAAGCTTATTTCTGTTCATTTGCTCTCACTGGAGACTGGAGAAGAGCTTGTTATCAACCTCCAAATAATTACTTTGATTTTGAAGATTAAACTTTCTCCTTTAGGCCACTAATTAATTACTCCAGTCATTGTTATCTGAGCCCTTTCTTTTCTCGGTCTGTACACTATATCAACAAATGAAGATGTTTTCAGGCATTTTTAACCAACCATGCAGTGGAGAAAGTCCTTTATGTGAAATACTCTTTGATTCTGAATGGTGATGAATATTAAACAATGTTGATGTTGTGCCCCACTGCCCTGGGCAGGAGGGATAAACAGTAAACATGACAGGCATGGTGCCTTCCCTCCTGGAGCTTACCCTCTGTCAGAGAATCAGACATTTAATACAAAGTAACCAATGTCATGAGTGCTACTCCTGAAGAAATATAGAGTGCTTTGGGACAGCATCTTGAATAAAGTGCCCTACTGTTGGGTGAGGGGACTGACAAACGAAATGGATGCAGTCAGGCTCCCTCCCAGCAAGCTGTGCCATTTCCAGGCAGCCTTAGCTACAGCGTCTTATACAACCTGTAGATTGTGATTGATTATAGTGTGGAGTGGTGGTGGTGGGGAGCTAGAACTGTGCCTGTGCCTTGCTGTGTCCTGCTAGGCCTGAATAAAACTATGTAGCATCTGCCCAGGGCTCCTCGCATATTCTTTCAGCTGCCAGAACTGCACACCCCAAACTTTGGTACCCCGAACCTGCAGAACACCTACCCTAGCCTGGAACTGTAAGAGGTCAAGTTATGGAAAACCTATAAACCGTAGTAGGGATTTGGGATTAAAGATTCAGTTTTTTGGACCTATCCCTAGATACTTTGGTTTTTTGGTTTTGGCTCAACTCAAAAGCCAATATTTTAACAAGCTCCTCTGTAGGACTCTGGTGCAGTTAGTCCCAACACATCCTTTCGAGGCACTCTGAGCTTTATAGCCTTTGAAGGATTTTAAAGGCAGAGATTGAGATAATTGGTTTGAATGGATTGGTGAAAGTAGGGGACAAGAATTGTGGGTGGTTAGGTGGCTCCTGCAGGGGTTAGGGAAAGCATGAAGGCGGCTTGGGCAGATACAGTGAACAGTTTTGAGACATTCAGGAGGTAGAATAGAATTTTTTGATCCTTTAATTGTGACAGGAGGTGCTGCAGGAGAGGGAGGTATCAAGGTCAGCTCCTAGGTTTCGAATTTCAGTAACAAGCATGTTGGGTGGAGGGGTTGGAATGAGGAATTAAGTTTTTGGACACAGTGACAGCCACGTGGAGGTGTTTAATAGGCAGTTAGGTACAGCAGTTTGAAGCTCAGGAGCTCTGGACTGGTCTGTACCAGAGATGTGGGTTTGAGATGTGGTCAGCTGATAGATGATAATTAAGTGGGAATGGATGGGATCACCCAGAGGAAGGCTGTAGATGAGATAGGAAGAGAGTCTAGAATATACCCTGAGCAACATCAGGATATATTTTAGTAGGAATAGAAAGAGGAGCCAGCAGTAAATATTGAAAAGGAATGGTTAGAGAGGTGGGAGGAAAACTGGGAGAGTGTGGTATCCATGTGGGTATCTATGGAGAGTGGTCTCTGGTGATTTTCCACATTCATAATTTAGCAGAAGCAGGTTAAAAACATTTCAGTCTCATTTCCAATCACACAATCTACAGGGTAGGTATTCTTAGTGCCACGTGCAATGGTTTTATCCCAGGCGTTGATCACACTCACATAGAGATCTTAAAACATATCCTTCAGGATAAGTGAGTTAATATAGCCATGAATGTCACCAAGTCTCTCTCCTTCTGTATGCACATGGTTAATGTTTCCATCTCACTTTGGTGTCAGGACTTTTCAAGAGCAGACATTCAATGGCTTTTTGACCCTATGAATGAAAACATTGATAGGCAGGGTTCTAACGTGCTGGCAAAGGGCGATGGCTTTGTTGTTTGCTGCTAGTGGGTCCGTCCATCTCTCGGGTGATACATTTATCTTTCACTGAAAAGTGCTTTAGAGTGATAAATGGAGCCCATGTATTTTCCGCTGAATGCAAATGTTTTCTTCTGCTTTTAGAAATATGTGTTTCTTTTCTTTCTTTCGTCGTTGTCATCGTCTCCTCCTCTTCCTCCTCTTCCTTCTTCCTCTTCTTCGTCCTTTTTTTTTTTTTATAATTTTGCCTGACCCTAAACTCTTGACCAAGGGTCAGCGAATGTGGCCTGCCACCTGCTTTTGTATACAGCTCACCAGCTAGGAATGGTTTTCACATTTTTTAATGGTTGCATTTTAAGGGATTACATAAATATCTACATAACTTTGATTTTGCCTCTTGGCCCACAAAGCCTAACAATGTTTAGTATTTAGCCTTCAGTGGAAAAATTTTGCAATCCCTGCTCGTGACTATTACTCTTGAATGACCTAAAGAAAACTTTTCACTCAAATAAGAAAGTCAGCTACGCCAATGGGTCTCAAATTTTAGTATGGTCAGAATCACCTGAAAGCCTTGTTCCAATACTGAATCTGGGCCCCACACCCGATATCTAGAGTGGGACCAGAGAAGTGGCGTTTCTTCTTTTGAAATTTTTTATATTTTTTGGTATATTTGACATATAACATGTTACATTCAGGTGTATAAGTAATGATTCAAAATTTGTATATATTGCAAAATGATCACCACAAAAAGTCTATTTAACATCCATCCCTATACATAGTTATAAAAATTTTTTTCTTATGATGAGAACTTTTAGGATCTATGTTCTTAGCAACTTTCAAATATGCAATATAGTATTATTAATTATAGTTACCAACCATGCTGTACGTTATAGCCCCATGACTTTTTTTTATTGTGCCCCAGGCGTGAAACACTTCTGGTCACCAATCTAGGCATCCAGCTAGGATGAACTGTACGTCTGCTTTGTCCCTTGACTGATGTAAGAGTAACACCAATAATCAGGTGTGTCTTTGCCCACTGCCACGGGGTTCCTCATGACTTATTTACTTTATAACTGGAAGTTTGTACCTTTTGACCTGAATGCCTTCATCCATTTTATCCTGGCAACCATCAATCTGTTCTCAGTATCTGTGAGCTCTCTTTTTAAAAAATATAAGTGAGATCATACAATGTTTGTCTTTCTCTCTCTCTGACTTATTTCACCTAGCATAATGCCATCAAAGTCCATCCATGTTGTCACGAAAGGTAAGGTTTCATTTTTTTTTATGGCTAAGTAATATTACATTATGATGTGTGTGTGTGTGTGTGTGTGTGTGTATACATACTGCCACATTTTCTTTATCCATTCATCCATCAATGTACACTCAGGTTGTTTCTATATTTTGCATAGAAATGCATAGAAATATCTATGCATAGAAATATCAAGTGCATAGAAATATCTAAAGAAATATCTTAAAGAAACAAAAAAAAGACTAAGCTTGTATTTTAAAATTAATGTAGAAGAAAAGTACATTTAAAAACTTTTGGGGCATAGTAGTTACACTGGTGTAGAATCTCCTTTTAAGTGGTCATTGAGGGCATTTAATTCAGTTTACAAATTTCTGAAATCCATCTCCCTTCCAAACCACTGGAAGTTGAGGACTCGATCTTACATTTTTCTTTCACCTTTTCACTCTCTGGTAAAACCAACAGCCGTCATAAGCAATATTCAGCACCACTGTTTATGTTACAGCCCTTCCTATATACTTGCAAGTATCAGAAGAATCAGCTCTATTTTTCTTCTCCTCCGCATGTAGAGGAATGTAGCACAAGTACTGTGTTAAGAATATCCACACACAGGATTCAGCTGGAAGACGCATTAAAAAATCTCTCAATTTGTGCTCCTTACTGAATGATGGTAGTATGCCTGCTTCTTTTTCACCCACTTATCAAGTGCCTGCACTGTAGCTATATTCAGGGAATATAGAGATGACAAAAATATCTTCTGCTCTTAAGTAGTACACAGCCTAGTGAAAATTCAAATATGAAAGACTGTAGTGTACAGGTTCATTACTATTGATCTTGAGGTTAGGAATGCAGCCTTTAGCTCTGAAACAAGGCAGTTGACTGACATGCAGCACTCGAGATACTGGCCTGGTCAAAATGCAGGTTTAACAAACTGAGCCAGGCAGTTAGAGCTATCTCTGAAGTCTAGATGTTGACTAAGTGCTCATGAAAGGATTTCAGAAAATACCCAGGAAATCTTACAAATGAAGGAATCCATACTTGCTCGTTTATTTGGGATTTTGGAGCGTTTTCTATTAGTGTCGGCTCTGTTTTGAACATGTGTCAATCTTCTTCCTCCTTCCCTGCCTCCCTACATAACAGCAAGTTACGTTCCTTTAGTTAGTTATTCAACTCTGTTGTGAAAGCAGGTGCAAGGTGCTTAGGTGTCTACAACTACTGAAGTCTTACACAACCACCTTGCCCCCGTAACACACACCAAATACTGTCACATTGTCCAATCTGTCATTCCCATGCCTTCTGCCATTGTCTTTTGAATCTGAGTACACTAAGACTTTGGTTGTTCAACACTATTCTGTATGTGTGTCATTTCTTGACCCTCTTTCCAGTAGGAGGGGTGATTGTCTTATGAGATCTGAGCATGTATAGTACACAAAAGTTTTTTTCAGCGTACTTTTTGGGGCTCCATACCAGTTCACTTAGCCAGTTGTTAGTTGTAATCCCACATTGCTAGATTACAACAGTTAGGTTCTTCTTACTGCTCCCAGTGTCTAGCTACTAATAATTTTACTGCTTCTTACAGCTTTTCTGTCTTTCACAAATTTTCTATTCACGAAACCTTGCTGAACTTTATATTCTGTTATCTTTTTATTCTTTCACTTTCCACTACCCTGATCTGGTTTGTGTACTCCCTGTGTTTTCCACTGTTATAAAAGCAACAGTAAGATTTAAGTTTTCAATAAATAGATTTGTTAAAATACTTAAAAATTATTCAAGAAATAGAAACTGGCATATCTTTAGCCCGATTGCCTTGGTTCAACCCAGCTCTGCCATTTGCGGGTCGGGTTATTTAACCTCTTTCTTTGATATCTGAAGAATGAGCATCATAGTAGTACATAGGTAGTATTACATAGTGGTTTTAGAGTGAGGGTTCTGGCATTGGGTTCAAATCTTTGATCTGTCACTTATTTGCTGTCTGATCTTGGTCAAATTTACTTAACCTTTCTAAATCTCAATTTGCTATTCTGTAGGCCAAGGATAATGGTAACACCTGCCTCTTGAGATTGTTGTATGGAATATAATATAAATGTAAAACATTTAGCACAGTGCCAGGCACACCTTAAGTGTGAAATACATTATAGATATTCTTAGGAAAAACAGCAGGGTCAAAATCAATAAACTGGAACTCAGATATATAAAACAATGTAGCTTTCTAACTTTTCTATGACTTGCTTGATATTGCTCCTGCTGTTGAGGGGGCAGAAGTAAAATTTCTCATCACAGGTCAATGTTTTTCCCAGTTTCAAATGGTATTGTTCTGACCCTTTCTACCATCCTCCCTCCCTCCCTCCCTCCCTCCCTTCCTTTCTTCCTTCTTTCCTTCTCCTTTCCTTCCTTCTTCTCCTCCTCTTCCTCCTCCTCCTCTTCTTCCTCTTCCTCCTCCTCCTCCTCTTTCTCCTCTTCCTCTCTCCTCTCCCAACCAACCCCCTGTCCCCTTTTCTTTTTTTTCTTTCATAAATAGACAGTCTTGGAGGATTCCTCTCTCTACTATATTCCCCTTGATCACCCTTCTTTCCTTCTCTTTCTCTGTTCTTGGTACTTTGGGGCACAGAGAGAAGCATACATGACCTCCTAGAAGCAGGAGAGATTTCTGTCCTAGCATCTTCATCTGCTGGTTCCTACTGAACTGTGATGTGTGACTCATGCCACCTCATCTTTGAGTGTCTGCTTCTGTCCTTTTTGCATCTGCCGTTGATGCCTTTGTGTCTGGTGTAGCTTGTAGCCTGTTTTCCAGTCAAGGGAAATGCAAGGTGGTTATTGCTCTTGGGAAAGTTCTCTATCATATTCCACTGATGACTAAGCTCCCACTTGATGTTTACTGATGTTGGTGACCTTATGTGACCCAGCAAAATCATTCCCCTCACCACTCTTCTATCCCATGGTGGTGTTTACTCGAGTTATTGTTTTCACTCTGCTATGTGTTGGCACAGTGGACCTGTAAACCATTCTTTTATCAAAATTCCAAATGGAAAATGAGATTTGAATCTTTTCTTTGCTTTTGGCATGACTCAAACTATCTGGGGTATTGTTATTGCACCTTTCCCAAAGTTTGACTGTGATGTAGGGGCAGAATCGAGGACTTCTCTTGATGACTCTCTTTCCTCTCCTTCAGCTTCTTTCCCCAAAGGGCTTTGTATTTTTCCTTTCTAGGGCATGGGAATACCCTCTTTTCTTTCCTGATCCAGTTGGCCGTACTCGACTTGATATATGAAGGGTATTAAATACCTTCGTTAGAGTTTGCCTACTCAACAAACAAACAAGCAAACAAACAAACTTAGCTTCCAAATCTTCTCTGTTTTTGTGTTTCACAATTCTGGGTTGAAGATCAAAACTGAGTAATACTTCTCTTTTTCCTCAAAATGATGAATACCATTGATTAGGCAGGATAACACAACATATGGGGAATGAAATTTCTATCAATTTAATGTTTCAAAAATGTTATCTTTATTATTTCTATTCGTTATAGAAAGGGATCATGACATGTAGAAAAGTAATTATTAGTAATTCTATCTCCAAGAAATAATCGTTGTTAATAACATTTTCTAGCTGGGTGCTATTTGGGTGACCGAGAGCAAGTTACTTTACTACCTGATCCTCACTTTTCCTCCTCTGTTAAATGAGAATAATTCCTCCTTTCACAGAGTGTTCTTTTAATTCAAGATGGCATTTTTATCAGAGAGGAAATGATTATATATAATTCTGATTTTGTTCCTGTCATAATATTCTATTATTCTAATTTATATATCTTCATAGTATATTTTAATATTTGGTAAAGTAAATATTATACATCTTTTATGATCTTATTACACATCTTTTAAAGTAATTTCTGTAAAATATAACTTGTTTCTCCTTTCCAATAAGCATTGGAATTATTGTGTTAACTTTTTAAACATTTCATTGGTATTTTCATTAAAAATGCCTTAATGTTTATGGTATTAAACATTCTAATAAACAGGTTTCTTTTCTGGGCCTCCATAAAGTTTGGTAGTTTTCCTTATATAAGGTGTTTCGCTTTTCTTGCTAAGATATTTCATAAGCATTTTATGTTTCTGATGGTTGTATAAAATAAGGCTTTTTCCCTGTTAAATTTCTGATCTTATTACTAGTGGCATATAGGAAAAAAATTGCTGACTTTTGTATATTTTTAAACAAGTTACCTTACTGACTTCTGCTAGTGAATTTTCATTTGATTTACTTAGGTTTTCCATTTAGAGAAGCATTATTGGAAAATAGAGATTAATTTGTCGTCATGTTTCTAAAATGTATCAATTAAAAAAATTCTTAAGTCCTTTATTGCATTGGCTAGAACTTCTAGAAAAGTGTCAAGTAATAATGAGCACACTGCTCTTTTTTCTGAGTTTAATGGGAATGGTCTCTAGTATTTTATCATTAACTATAATATTAGCTATTTATATGCAATAACTACTTTCTAATAGATTAAGGAGGTTTTCTTCTAGTATCAAGAAGCTTTTGTATTTAATGTTGAATTTATTTTAATTATTTTTTAATCTTTGCATTTATTAAAATCATTATTTTTTAATCTTCTGAGGTATTGAAGTGACTAATTAATTGACTGGTATATTTAACATGCTACTGGATTAGCATGTTATTTATATTAATAGGGAGATTAGTTTGTGATTTTCTTCTTTGTGCTCTATTTGTTAGAGTATTGCTGGTTTGGGAAAATGAATTGGGAAGTGTGCCATCTTTTTCTATGCTTTGGAACAGTTTAAATTATATGTGAAT